TTTATTATGTCTCAAACAAGCAACAGTACAATCAATCAAAGTGTGTGCCTAGACTATTGACAGTTTTGCCATCTTGATGGTAGCTTAAGTAGGCCAGCAGCAAAGACGCCCGAGAGCAAGTAGCAATGAAATTGCAAAAGTGTTTTCCGCAGCTTGTTGAGAATTGAATATTTTTCCTTGCAAGAAGTGGTCCAGCGCCTGGAAGAGGTGGCCGTCAGTTGGTGCAAGGTCTGCTGAATACAGTGGATGACAGAGTTTCCCAGCTTCTGTAGCTCGAGCAGCGTTGTTTATGCGACAGCACTGTCTTGCAAGAAGACCAGCCTGTCTGGGCTGCTTAATTGCAGACATCCTCATCACGCTGTCACTCAGTTACAGCTGACGCCCGCTGTAATTGATAAACCAGGTTTCATGAAGCTGCAGGGAATAATATCACCAGACAGACACCACCATCAGGATATTCTTTTTATGAATATTCAGGTTAGGACTGTGTTTTGGCACCTCATCTTTATCCAACCATCGTGCCAAACCCTTGCAATGTTGAAAAGAATCCATTTTTTAACATGCGTAACAATACGTTGTGGAAATAGTTCGCCTTTGTCGTGACAGCAGAGACAGGCAGCTTCGAGACAATTTCTCTTCTGAAGCTCCTTTGACTCCCTCAGAGCTCATGTACGCAGCTTCTTTACCTCGCCAATTTGTTTCAAATGGTCCAATGTTGTCGGAATAGTACTGTCAAACCTGGCTGCTAATTTGTGCCTAGGTTGAGATAGATTCACTTCCACTACGGCTTTGGGCTCATCATTATCCAGCTTAGGTCTGGCCTCCCACATGGCTCATTGTCAAGATTAAAATCAACAGAGCAGGATTTCCCCAACCATCGCTGTACTGTGCATTCATTAGCCACAATCCTTTGCAAACACTTCCTTGATATTTCAAGCTGTCTTGTGCTGCACTGGCTCCGCAGTGGAGATCACATTCAAAAATAACATGAATTTTTGACTTCTTCATTACTCTAAATGTTTTCGAAAGATAATCGCAAGCCAAAATGTGTGTTTGAAAGAGTGATGCACCTTCACAATTAAAAAATAATAATTGTCAAAGCGAGATGTCAGATGTCAATCATCATACTTAGTACTTCAGAAAATTGGACATTTCTCACTTAATATCCTAATAAAGCTGACCAGATATATACGTTCTAAGACATTTATTGGCCTGATGAGAGAAGTCCCTGAAGTGGATGTCCATGTCCATCGAGATCGGCCCTCTCTGTTGTGGCCCCCACCGTCCATATGACTCCCCACCAGTGGGGAGAAGGCCAAGGCCCAGATCTGGCCTGGGGGAATCCTGGGTTCTCTTGTGCCATAAGCACTTGGCGTGATCATCTCTTTGCAGCTGGTTGTCTGGGCATGAGGTTTGGGTTTGGACTTTGGGGTAGGCAGAGGTTCCCTTGAGTCTCTGGCCCACACTCAAGGAAGTCGGCCCTTTCTTTCCTTTCCCGTTGTTTTCCGTTTGTGTATCCCCTTTGGAAATCTCCCAGGGAGGAGAGAGGGTCGGGCCCATCTAGCATTCAGGCTTTCTGGTGTTACCCCACACAGGTTTCTCAAGTGTGCTCTCTTTACATTTTAGGCCGGATCATTGTTGGGTTGTGGGAACTGTTCCAGGCATTATGGGATCCCTGGCCTCTAACTATCAGATGCCAGTAGGGCTCACAAGTTACGACAATCAAAATTGTCTCCAGACATTGCAAAATTACTCTCAGTTGTGAACGACTGATTTAGCCAAATGCTTTTATCAACATGGGTCCCCCAGTCAACCCTGAAACACTCACAGTGCTCCAAACATTGTAATCTACACGTTATTGCCACAGGACAGTGTCCCACACCACCAATGAGAGCGTCACCCTCTCCGCAGGGTTCTCTTCGGTCTTACACATTCATTTAAGTGAACTCTTTCCTGCCCTGCTTATTCTTTCTTATACAGAGGGCCAGATCCTCATATGTGGCAGGAAACATATGGAATTATTCTCTGGTGTTGACTTGATGGTCTCCACCCTCTGACTCTCTCAGTATCTCGGCCACAGTTGCTTATATTCTCTCTGACAGATATTACTAAGTATAATAATATATCCATTCACTTGTGGCAAAAATAAACTGTATATCAATCACAATTTAGTGGCCACCAGTGAAGCGTTTGCGAATTACCAGTGTGCCGTGGCATATCAGTTGACAACTTTTTTTTTTTTTTTTTTTTTTTATTGAAAGTTGACAACTTTTAAACGTTTTTCCTGGGTCACCATCTCTAATTATGTGTTGAAGATTCTGAGTCTATTCCTGAGGTCCAGTGGAACCTAAACACAAAGGTATCCCCGAAGCCTCCCACTTTTATGAAACCAAACGTACATGTTTGGTTCCAAATCTCCTCATCTCATGCTATTATGGAAACTGTCCCAGCAGTCACGGAAGCTGGAAACCTGAAAGGCTTTCTTAACGTTTCCCATTCTCCTCCCCTGGGCAGCCTGTCCATTAGCAGATCTTCCCAGAGTGTTCCCTCCTCTCTATTTTACCAGGGGAAAAATATTTCTTTATCTCAGGTCTACACATCTCATCACCTGCAAGGCTGTAAGTCTCCTCACAGGTCTCCATCCATCTAGTCCTGTGATGCTGGTCTCCAGCCAGCCAGCCTCCACAGGACTGCCAGTGGGCTTCCCAAAATGCAAATCCAACCATGTCATGCTCCTTCAGTAACTTTCTTTCAGTGTCAAGTTCGAACTCCGCAGGTCAGCACAAAAGCTCTGGGTGCTTTCTCTCCCCTCACTGCCCACCGTTTCCCCACGTTCTCCTGAAGCTCCAGTAACACCAAACTACCTGGAATCCCAGATTCCCATCGCTTCTTTCTTCTATATTCTCATTGCTCCGTCACGGGTCACTGGCCCGAGATGCCCCTGCATCTTTCTTAGTGTTTTAGCTACAACTTAATTGTCCTCAAAACTTAGCTCTACAAATCCTTCCTCAGGGAAGCCTTCCGGGCCCTGTGTCCCCAGTGTATCCCCCGTGTCCTGCCTATGCTCTTAGTACAGAACTGTGAGCTCCTGAGGCTAGAAACTGTGTCTTGCTCCTGTTTGTATTTTCACAACTCAGCACAGGGCCTGGTGTGAGCTGAGTAACCACCGACAGACTGGCTGACTGTGTTCTCCAGCGTGAAGTTCACACAAAGCCCGGCACCAACCACACCAGCAATCTAGACACCCTAATTAGAGCAAAAAAGTGATCAAAGCTTTAGGAGAGTCGGTGCCTCTCCAGCCATGCTGTTCTTGGTGTCTTTGCCCCCGTACCAGCGGCCCCTGCCCACTCCAGCAGCCGCCATGCTCCTGTACAAGCCGGGGTCAGCCCAACAGCCCTGTGAGGGGGTGCACCTGCCCCTTCTCCTAAGGGGGAGCATGTGCTCTGGTTTCTGAAAAACAGTCATCTGCCTTCTCTCCTTGGTCAGTGCCTAGAAGGATGTTGGAAGAGTTCTGTTAGGAAGCTCCTGGGAGTCAAAGGAAACTGCCACCTGACAGAAGCTGTCAGCTCACTCTGTGGCTACCAGTCTTGCCCGGCTAAGAGCACTGAGTCGGGCCCAATGTGGGCTGCTCAGCTCTTCCCAGGGGAGCACGCCCTCACTCAGAGGCCTGCCACTGTCTGGAATTTGGCCCATTTGCACACTTTAACTCCCTTCCTTGTTTTTTTTTTTTTAATTTTTAGTCAGAGTCTCACTCTGTGCCCTGGGTAGAGTGCCATGGCACTCTCACTCACAGCAACCTCATACTCTTGGGCTCAAGTGATTCTCCTGCCTCAGGCTCCTGAGTAAGCACTTGCCACAATGCCTGACTACTTTTTCTATTATTGTTTTTTCAGTAGAAATGGGGTCTTGCTTTTGCTCAGGCTTGTCTTGAACTCCTGAGCTCAGGAGATCCACCCATCTTGGCCTCCCAGAGTGCTGGGATTGCAGGTGTGAGCCACCATGGCGCCCGGCCGACTCCTTTCCTTTTTACAGGGAGGAAGCAGCATGGAGGCTTCCCTTAGGAACTGCACCGTGACACCCTCTCCTCCCGTACTCTTTCCATTTGCATGCCCCAATCTCACTTCTCATTTACCTACCAATCCACAGCTTCCCCTTCTTCATTTCTGCAGGATATTTTTGCTGCCTTCAGCACTTCAAAGAGGCCAAGGCAGAGCAAAGCAAGGGATGTGTTTAGAAGTCTCGCTGTCATTCTCTCTCTGTCTCCTTTATTCCATGGCACAGCAGGAAACCCGCCCCAGAGACTAGGAAGTCTGAGCTTTGAGTCTCTCTCAGGCTATCCTGGCTCTGACATTTGAGATCTTTTTACCTCTGCTGTTCGCTATTCAGGCACTTTCAGAATGAGATGAATCCCATGTAATTGTGTGATCTGTCACAACAAGCCAGTGTGACTCTGGATTCCTTTGTGCTGAACTGTTGACTGGTTTTCGAAGTCATCAGAAAGTTCTGGAGAGGAAAGGGGGATATGTAGTTAACTCTTTGGAGTGAACATTGTGTAGTGTGAAGTTCAGGGGGCAGGGGAACTATTTATCAACTTCAGGTTGATAAATAGTTGTTAAATTAACTATCTTTCATATTTTTTTCTTTCCTGATTGACTATGAGTGAGAACAAATGTACGTGATTCACATGTGAAACAGAGATGGCAAAACCTCATGTCTTAGTCATAATTAGGATCTGTCATTTATAACCATCTCTCTCTCTCAAGGAAACAGATGTAAATGGCATTTCAAAACAACAGCAAATTCAATT